AGGGTGAAGGTGTGGGAGGCCGAAGCCGACGCAGTACCTGAGAGAGCAGACTCACCAGCACCTGAGGGAGCAGACGCACGAGCACCTAGAGCAGCAGCCTCGCTAGCACCTAGAGCAGCAGCCTCACCAGTACCTAGAGCAGCAGTCTCAATGCCCGGGTCGGGCGGAAAACACCGGTAACAGTCACCCTCATCACTAATAGTCACAGCATACATGGCAGCAAGAATAGCATCAAACTCAAAGGTCAAAGACAGCTACTCCCGCCCTAGAAATCTCACCCCAGCGGGGGATCTCAGTGGCATACGGGAACTGGTGACGCCAAGCGTCCGTCAGGCAGCCAAAGCAGCGCTGGGTGGAGTGCGCACCCCCGCACTGTTCATCTGCGCGGTCGCCGGTGCGTAGGACGTAGGTGCACGGACCAGTACCCCCACCCCGCTGGCGTGCAGCGTACCACTCACGGAGCTGCTGAGGCGGGGGGATGTCACGAGTGCGCTGCTGCTGCTGCTGCTGCTGGCGCTGACCACCACCGGAGCCGACCCTCTACGCAGCTTCACCCCGACCAACTCCACCTCCACCGCCACCGCCTTCTCCACCGCCGCCATCTCCGCCACCTCCGCTCCCACCGCCACCGCCGCCGCCGCCGCCGCCTCCGCCTCCACTGCCGCCACCGACACCTCCACCCCCGCCACCACCCCCACCGCCACCCCCACCCCCTCCACCGCCTCCACCGCCTCCTCCACCGCCTCTGCTAGCTCCTCCAGCGCCCCTGCCCCCCTTGCCCTTGCCAGGGCGGCGTCTCGCGCTAGGGGTAGACGCCGCACCGACCGACTCAAGCCCAACGAGGTCGGCTGCAGCAGCAGAGGCAACAGAGGGCAAAAGGGGGGAGGGGGAACACCCCTAAAAAATGGGGGTGCGAGGGTCACCACGAGAGGCTCCTACAGCTACTATGCTCTTCTCTGCTGCTAGGAGGGCCTCCTCGAGGAGGTCAACGGTGAGAGTGGTGGGGCAAACTGAGAGGAAGTGGTCCCTGACTACGCGAAAGGAGTCAGGGAGCCGGGTGACTATGTAGTAGAGGGTATGTACATGGGGGAGGGGTTCTTGGCGCAGAACTCAGCAGGAAGCGCAGCGCGGTAGCGAGTGTCACTAGTGCGGAGGTGCGTAATGAGGTCAGCGACTGTGGGAAAGGCAGCAAGGTCAGGGAAGAGGTACGGTAGCATGAGGCGGCTCAGTGCAGCAGTGGCAGGGGAGGAGTAGCGTGCAACTACAGCGTCGTACAAGGTCTAAGCACTCTTGTACTGACTAAAGTGCGCACGCTCAGAGGTAGGCAGGTGGCGACGCACGGCAAGACGTGCAGCAGCATCGCGTGTGGCCCACTGTGAGCGAACAGTGGCGTCGGCATCAGCAGCAAGGGCAGGAGAGGCACCAGAGGTGAGGTCAAAGAGGGAGAGACCGTGTGTCCTATCGCACTAAAAGAAAAGCTGCAGGTCATCTACCCAGACGTCAAAGTCAATGGCCTGACCCTCAGCGTCGAAAGCGAGGACACTAGGGGTAGCCATGACAGCAGTAGACTAGCAGCGCGAACAGTAGGGTAAGGGCAGTGCAGTGACAGAGGCGCTGCTCTTACTGGACAGGGTGGCTCGGGCGGCTCGGCGGCTCGGCAACTGGGCGGCTCGACGGCTCGGCGACTAGGCTGGGCTCGGGCGGCTCGGATGCTCGGCGGCTCGGCTGCTGGGCGGCTCGGCTGCTCGGCGGCTCGGCTGCTGGGCGGCTCGGCGCCTCGGCAGCTCGGCTGCTGGGCGGCTCGGCGGCTCGACGGCTCGGCTGCTCGGCGGCTCGGCTGCTGGGCGGCTCGGCTGCTCGGCGGCTCGGCTGCTGGGCGGCTGTGCCGCTACGGAAGGCGGGGCCGCGAAGGGCGGCGGGGCCGCTGAAGTGAGCGGCGACGGGGCCGCAGAGGAGGCGGCGGGAGGGCCGCTGAAGGGGCGGCGTCGAGGCCGTTGCAGGGGTGGCGACGGGGCCGCTGAAGAAGGCGGCGGGGCCGCTGAAAGGGCGGCGACGGGCCGTAAGGGGAGGGCGGCGACGGGGCCGCTGTAAGGGCGGCGACGGGGCCGCTGTAAGGGCGGCGACGGGCCGTAAGGGGAGGGCGGCGACGGGCCGTAAGGGGAGGGCGGCGACGGGGCCGCTGCAAGGGCAGCGACGGGGCCGCTGTAAGGGCGGCGACGGGGCCGCAGGTGAAAGGGCGGCGACGGGCCACAGGGGGTGGGCGGCGACGGGCCGCTGAGGGCGGTAGGCGCGGCGGGGCCACGAAGGGGCGGCGCGACGCGTCTGCGAAGGGCGGCGCTACTCTGCAGTCTAGTTCCCACCGTTGTAGAGTTAATTTCTTCAGATGCGACGCCTGACGTGCTGTGTTTCTTCTTTCGGTTTTGGCGGGAACCAATCAGATTTGTTCGAACGCTCTCAATGAAACAGTGCAAACTTGTCAGTTTGGTTTGAAAATTGTTTCGCTCGACAAGCCCTCTTTCAAGCTGGAGACGGATTCAATATTTTGCATTTCGGTTTTAAATATATGATAAATTTGGTGTGATTTGTTTTTTACAACATCAGGTTTCTATATCAATGTTTGCGCATGTAATAATTTGTTGTACTAGTCGCTATTTTGTGCCCTATTATTATTAGTAGTTGGCACATGCGTTATTGGCACTTTTTTGTACGTGAAAATGTTCAGATGAATAAAGCCATAAATATAGAACCCTCGTAGATGACATTCGATGCCTCCCCATGATTGCACACATTTCCCCGTAGGGTTTTTTTGCAGTGTTATTAGTTTATGCGACAAGAAATAAGTGTGTGTCATATGGGATCTCATATTTTCAGGGCTACACAATAACATAAGGGTAATCTACTGGGCTCAGTAAAACCCCTGAGCCGACTACGGGTGCGTTTCTATCCCGTGTCAGACATCAAGTCATGCGGCCTTAGTCTCCAATTTGTCTCTTCCGAACTTCCAATCGCCCCAAAATCGAGCCACTTCGGGTCTTCCGAACCTTCACTTCGTGTCAGACCTAATGTCTGACACGGGATAGAAACGCGCCCTACTACTGCAAATATGGTACTAAATTTCGTCTCCTGCAGAGAATTTATCCTACGGGCGCTAACATTTTTTGAAACCTCTTTCTGTAGCAAAACGCTCGTTTGATGTGCTCTCTGACTGTACCTGCCAGATCATACCACCCGGTTCCATGCGACTGGCTGTGGAAGAGTGACACGAGACTGCTAATCTTCTCATTGGCATCTCTCTCCTCGATGCAGATATAGCGACAGGTGGACCTCATTTGTTCGGCACCGAGTTTCCGGAGGGATAATGTTGCTTACACATCAGATGGTGATCAAAACACGTGTCACGCTCTCCTGGCTTCTCAAAATGCCGAGCCTCCGCGTTTGACGCTCAAGCACGGCCGCATTCCACGGGTTTCCTTGAGTTCCGGTTTGTGGCTTCTTGCCTTCCGGTTGGTCCGCCCCAACTCAACGCGTTTATGCTAGCGACAAGTGCGGCTCTCCACCCTTGGCTCACTCTTGTTGGCTGTCGCTGCAATCGGCTCCTGGCCGGCTCCCAAAACTTGCTGCGTACACGCACACCAGCTTCCCAGTCAGCATAACAAATATCCCAGGAGATCTAGCATTTTTAGGAACACTACACTTTAGAATATCCTTGCTGAGCAGATTCTTTTGAATCTATATACATAATCGATCAGAGTTCCAATTTGTGAGTGCAAAACACAACTATTGATCCTTTCTCCACTGTGCCCGTCATCCCGACTATCGTTCAATAATCGTTTGATTCCCCACTGACTGGATCGACCAGTCACATCACTCCATCCGAAGCTTGTCAGCTCACCACTGTTGGCTTTCCATTCCATCACCCGGCAGAGCAAAACATCTGTTCTGTTGGCAGCATTTACCAATTCGGAAGGGTGAGCAACAGCATCACACAACCCATGCAGAAAAAAAAAATTCCTTCATGCTGCAGTGTGTTCCACAGCCGACTTAACCGAACCAAACCCGAGCCTACCTCGAGTCAAATCCCCATTTCTTTCCAGCTCACGCTCCCATCGAAGCCGAGTGTCCTCATGCCACCTGTCAATCTCCTTACCTAACCAAGTTTGTCGCGTCACATCTCTACCGAACCTCTCCCATGCCACCCAACCAAAGCACATACATCCTCGCCTCCTCAGCCAGCCACCTCAGAGGTCCCCATCTTGCGGTGTTGATAAGGAGCGATTGTTACACACACAACTCATGTATTGTCGTGGTGCTCTGCGAATTCGCGCCTCATTGGCACTTTTCTGTTCCTATTCTTCCACCCTAACACCCTACCTTCCATCTCACGTGACCAAATTTCCCTTTTTGAAAAAGAATCTCTTTGACCACCTGAGGATCCTCTTCTCCGCAGGAGAAAAAGGGCTATTACCCTTCCTTACTACGCATTTCCAACGGATCGCGCAACCCATCTCCAGGCAGACCTGGCTTCCCTGGCGCGAATCGCGACTGAACTCCTGCCGTAGCAGGAACGTCGCAAAACGGATTCACCAAATACTATGCCCTTGCGAAGATCTGCCACTGTCACACCTCCGCAAAAGACGTTCGCCTTCTAAATTCCAAGTATCTCCACGCGAAAAGTTTGCCGAGAAGAGTCGTGAGAGACAACTATGGCCCTCCAGTTTATGCCAATGGACATACCGTCGACAACATGGGAGACCTCCGTGTTTCGCGCTGCTGAGCTCGCCCCAATGACGCCGGGCGGAACAGGCCCGCCCACCAGCCCCGCATTTCCGCCCAAGGCCAAATTTCGTGGCGGGAATTCCAACTCGGCGGCGAAGAATAACCAAGGTTCGCGAAGCTCGCCAAAATTCGCGAATCTGCAGCCCCCAGCATGCGGATTTTCAGACGACTCTGGCGAAGGCCTGAATCCAGAAGTCGACGACCCTCAATGTCGCCAAGCTAATATGCTTCCGCCAACTACTCCGCTCGCCTCGAACGCGGCGGCGATTAACACACCCAAGAAATGCGGCGGAAAAGGCGGCGGCAGAGGCCGCGGGAAAGGAAAAGGCGGAGGGAGTGTTTCCCAGACAAGCGGAGCAAGCGGGATTGAGATCGCGGGGAATGCGGCGCACGCGGTCTTCGGCCAGTCCCCCGCGGTTCAACCGCGCTGCTTACCGCCCACGCTTAGCATCCCGCCTCCCCCGCAGCTGTTCCCCCCTGGCTCCCCTTCCGCGGCTGGCGGAGCCCCGCACCTGCAGGCGCCCGGCACCCCCTGCGCGGGGATGATCCGCGCGCCTTCTCACCGCTTCCCCGCGTCTTCGACCATCCACACCGCCGGTACTTACGGCAGCGGCGGGAGCGGATGGAGCGGTGGAGGTGGCGGAGCGCAACCCGCGGAGTCTATGAAGCGGAAGCGCCCGCGGTTCGCGGAGGAGCAGCTAGCGCATTTGGAGGCGCATTTTGCGGTGGAGCAGGAGCTCACCCCGGCCAGCAAGAAGCTGCTGGCGGCGCGGCTCGGCGTGAAGCCGCGGCAGGTGTGCGTGTGGTTCCAGAATCGCAAAGTGCGGCAGAGAACGCGGGAGCGCGAGACGGAGCTGGAGGGCATGCAAGCGGCGTACGCGAAGCTTCAGGCGACGTGCCGCGAGCTGCAAGACGACTACGAGCTCCTGAAATCGGACTACCAGGAGCTGCTGCTGCAAAACACGCAGCTTTTCGACATGGTGAGTTGCTCGTGGGTGCGCGTGGGTGTTTGTGGGTGCGCGTGGGTGCGAGTGGGTGCTGGATTCAGGAAGTTTAGGGTCGGAATGGGATATGCAGAATGAATGGTGCTGACCTTCCTGTAACAAAATTCATTTCTTCACACTTCAAGCGGGTCACTAACGAATCTCCTTGTATCGCGTTTGCTTCGTTTGTGCAGATGCAGGAGATCGAGCAGCAGCTGGGGAACCCGCAGATCCCACCCGGTGATCGCCCCGTCACGTCGCGATTCAATGACACCACAGCCCCGGACAACCAGCCTGGCGGATCTGCCCAATCGGACCGCGGCGGGCAGTCGAACCAATCTGAGGAGGAAGTGGAAATTCCGTCTGTCCGGCTCCAGCCCCTTCATCAGCAACAGAAGCAGCGGCGGCAGGTGCGGCGGGAGGAGAGGCAGCACCTAGCGGCGGCTGCGGCGGCGGCTGAGGCGGCGGGAGAGGCGGAGGAGGAGGAAGAAGACGAGGAGGATGAGGACGAGGAGGAGGGGGAGGCACAGCCTGGGCCGTGCGCTACGGCCTTCAACAAGCAAGCCGAGCCGCTCCTTGGGAACACGGCGACCTGCTTTCCAATCCAGGAGTTTTACCCTGCAGCGGCCGGGGAGGTTTCCAGTTTTACCCCCAGCCCACCTTCGGGTAGCCCGTTTCACATCCACGCCAAGAATCAAGCCAATCCGGTCAAGCCCCCTTCGTACCAGAGCAACTCGCCCGATTCGTCCTTGGATGAGATCGGCGGCGCGCCGTTCGCGCTTCCCCCTCCCGCCTTCCCCATGGGCGTTGCGCCAACCTCAGCACCCCCCGTGCTCTTTGAGCCCCTCACAGCTTTCGCCAACCCTGGTAACCGCGTGGGGGAATCCGAGCATTTCGTCGCTCCCTCCAACCAGCAGCAGGGTCCCGATCTCTACGACCTCTACTCCCAAGCTCCCGCTAGCGGCGGCGGCGGCGGCGCCGAATTTTTGGATGGCTGGATGGACGGCGACGCGACGGCGATGCAGCAATCTGCTGGCTTACCGTTCGGCCTGACGGCAAAGGCTCCGGCGGAAGCGGAGGCGGAAGACGGGGAGAGTGATTCTGAGGCTGCAAGGAGAACAGCAGTGCATGGCGGGAGGAATGCTGCGTTCGCTTCTCCTAGCGGCGAGCTCGTCGAGAATGGCTTACCTCTTGACGTGTTCTCCTCGTGGAATGAGGGGCTGCCTCAGGCGTGTATGGAAGGCGCGGGAGAGGCGGAACAGCGATGCGCGGGTGGGGAATTCGCGGGCGCAAGGGAGGATACGAGCGGAAGCATGAGGGGGAATCAGGAACCGTTCGATCTTCTGGGAAGCATGGAGGGCGCAATGGGAGGGATGGGGTGTGCCGAGGATGGCGACGCGAGCGGTGGTGTTGCTGCTGCGGACGACATGGCTAGCATGTGCGGGTTCGACATGCAGGCTTATGCGACTTTCTGAAGCGGCTTCTACAACGACTTTTTGCACGCTTTTGCTTGATGGTGTTTTCTGAAGCGAGTTTTTTTTCGCGCGCCGCGTTTCGCGGCGCTCTGCAGCACGTGCGCTTGCGGCTTTCACGGAGCCGACAACAAATTGACGACGGCGGGGACCGTGATGCTATTCCGTGCGGGGACCAACATGGCGGGAGCAGGGAGGGCGGAGTGCGACGCACGCGCTGTCACGCGACGTTACGAGGAAGTCGAACTGTCTCGCGTACCAATCCGCAACACGCTACATGGACGTCAACGAGTTGTTTACGACTGGCATGGAATGTTGCGCGAGGCTTATCCAGCAGAGAGGACCTCCATGCTGCGCGAAAACTTGGTTCGTATTCCCAGCGCTATACCTGGTTACTTTTGGCTTATGGTAACTGTTCGGACAATTCTCACAGAACTAGGTTGAATAACGTGAAATAACTCACCTCTAAAGAGGAACACTGCTTTCCTTAGCTATGGTGAGGTATCAATAACTTGCTTACTACTCCACTTTGCTATTGTGAGTTGCTCCTTGAAACGAATTTCTATGTTGTAACGTATTTGGCGGCCTGGTTTGCAAATCAGACTTGATCGCAGGCAGACTGAACATGATTTCTGGCTTGAAAATAAACTCGAATGCTCCAGAAACGAACGCCAGCTTCTCCTAAAAAATGGATTGAAGCTAGCACGAGCTTTTCACCCAAAGAAATGTTCGTACTGGTAACACATCAAAATATACGCGAAGGGATGGTTGGCAGCGCAACAATAGGCTGTGTAAATGCTGTGCCATTGCTTTGCTCCTATTTAAATGCACGAGAAACAAGGGCCGGGATATACAAATGCACGGGTTAGGCATTTTGTGTAGCTGTACAAAGTGTACACGCGCCTTCATCCCCGACCACAAATCCATATTTTGCATCCCTACACTCAGTACTTGAAATTTTGAGCAACCTTCTGTAATCCCCTCTGTTTCGACAAGTACAGCTTATACCGCCTGCACCTGCTGCTTCTACTCCCACTGCCCACACTCTCAGCAAGAGAACCACTCTTCTGTCCAGGCGCCATGTTTCCAACACTAAAACCGCCAGCATTAGCACCACAGTGAGGAGCAGCAGCGGCAGAGGCTCGGCGCTTAGTTAAAAGTCCAGGCAGCAGCTCTTTTTTAAGCAGGGTGGAGAAGCAGCGCCTAAACTTGGTCTGGGTGTGCGTGATGGGGGGGAGGGTGGCATCATCAGCCACATCCAGCTCCTGTGTTTGTGTGTGGTGACAAGGAGTCAGATGGGGTAACAAGGAGTCAGATGGGGTAACAAGGAGTCAGATGGGGTAACAAGGGGTCAGATGAGGTCAGTTCCTGTGTGTGACGGGGGGAGGTGGCATCATCAGCCACGTCCAGCTCCTGTGTGTGTGTGGGGTAAAGGGTGGGAGTAGGGGGGAAAGGGGGGCTGTCTCAACATGTGACTTTTGAGTCGACTCAAAAGTCACCTCATCATCAGCCACGTCCAGCTCCTGTGTGTGTGTGTGGTAAAGGGTGGGAGTAGCGGGGGGAAGGGGGGGGGGTTTCAACATGTCGTTAAGACTCGGGGATTGACAAGTGCGGTTGTAAGGCGAATCTGTTTTTTGAGAAACTAGTTACCGCCATATTGATTCACACAAGAATTTTTTCTACAAGCAGGCCCTCGAGCCTGAAGTGTTCTAAATTTTAAACTTTTTGCTAACTACAGAAGCCGCAGCCTCGTAATGTCTCCCACCACCAAGTGGTGTTCCTTGTGTAAGGCGAATCTGTTTTTTGAGAATTCTCAAAAAACATACTTCGAGGATTCTAAAAGTAAAAACAGGTTGTAAGTATTGGCAGGCAACGGTGGCATGGCGTCATGAGCCATGTCCAACTCCTTTGTGAGTGTGTGAGTGTGTGGGGGGTTCAGAATAGAGACGGATGGAGGGACAAGGGAATATTCAATACACTGTGCACAGAATGCACAGTGGACATCAGAATGGACGGATGGATGGTTGCACCATTCATCCAGCCATGTCCGATTCCTGCATGTGAGTGGTTCAGTCAGATGTAGCTACTTTAGAGGCTGAAAATTTGGACTCGGGATCAAGGTTGGCTGAATGATCCAAGTTCATATTGGGAGTAGCAGCAAACCTAAAGAAATCGCTTAAGCAATTGGATCAAGACTTGCAAAATTTGTTCCTAGAAATTCAAGAAAATCTGATTCGGGGTCAAGGTTGGCTGAATGATCTTGCAAACTTAGACTTGACCCCCTTACCTCCGGAACAGGTGATTGAGCTGATTTTTGAGGCGCCTACCTAATTTCCTTCGGAACAGGTGATTGAGCTGATTTTTGAGGCGCTTACAAAATTTCCTTCGGAACAGGTGATTGAGCTGATTATTGAGGCGCTTACAAATTTTCCTTCGGAACAGGTGATTGAGCTGATTTTTGAAGCGCTTACAGAATTTCCTTCGGAACAGGTGATTGAGCTGACTTTTGAGGCGCTAACAAAATTTCCTTCGGAACAGGTGATTGAGCTGATTTTTTAGGCGCTTACAGAATTTCCTTCGGAACAGGTGATTGAGCTGATTTTTGAGGCGCTTACAAAATTGCCTTCGGAACAGGTGATTGAGCTGATTATTGAGGCGCTTACAAAATTTCCTTCGGAACAGGTGATTGAGCTGATTTTTGAAGCGCTTACAGAATTTCCTTCGGAACAGGTGATTGAGCTGATTTTTGAAGCGCTTACAGAATTGCCTTCGGAACAGGTGATTGAGCTGATTATTGAGGCGCTTACAAAATTTCCTTCGGAACAGGTGATTGAGCTGATTTTTGAAGCGCTTACAGAATTTCCTTCGGAACAGGTGATTGAGCTGATTTTTGAGGCGCTTACAGAATTTCCTTTGGAACAGGTGATTGAGCTGATTTTTGAGGCGCTTACAGAATTTCCTTCGAAACAGGTGATTGAGCTGATTTTTGAGGCGCTTACAGAATTTCCTTCGGAACAGGTGATTGAGCTGATTTTTGAGGCGCTTACAGAATTTCCTTCGGAACAGGTGATTGAGCTGATTTTTGAGGCGCTTACAAAATTTCCTTCGGAACAGGTGATTGAGCTGATTTTTGAGGCGCTTACAGAATTTCCTTCGGAACAGGTGATTGAGCTGATTTTTGAGGCGCTTACAGAATTTCCTTCGGAACAGGTGATTGAGCTGATTTTTGAGGCGCTTACAGAATTTCCTTCGGAACAGGTGATTGAGCTGATTTTTGAGGCGCTTACAGAATTTCCTTCGGAACAGGTGATTGAGCTGATTTTTGAGGCGCTTACAAAATTTCCTTCGGAACAAGTGATTGAGCTGATTTTTGAGGCGCTTACAGAATTTCCTTCGGAACAGGTGATTGAGCTGATTTTTGAGGCGCTTACAAAATTTCCTTCGGAACAGGTGATTGAGCTGATTTTTGAGGCGCTTACAGAATTTCCTTCGGAACAGGTGATTGAGCTGATTTTTGAGGCGCTTACAGAATTTCCTTCGGAACAGGTGATTGAGCTGATTTTTGAGGCGCTTACAGAATTTCCTTCGGAACAGGTGATTGAGCTGATTTTTGAGGCGCTTACAAAATTTCCTTCGGAACAGGTGATTGAGCTGATTTTTGAGGCGCTTACAGAATTTCCTTCGGAACAGGTGATTGAGCTGATTTTTGAGGCGCTTACAGAATTTCCTTCGGAACAGGTGATTGAGCTGATTTTTGAGGCGCTTGCAGAATTTCCTTCGGAACAGGTGATTGAGCTGATTTTTGAGGCGCTTACAGAATTTCCTTCGGAACAGGTGATTGAGCTGATTTTTGAGGCGCTTACAAAATTTCCTTCGGAACAGGTGATTGAGCTGATTTTTGAGGCGCTTACAAAATTTCCTTCGGAACAGGTGATTGAGCTGACCTGTGATGCAGTGCCATCTGTCCTACCCGCAATAGGTTGGATATATGGCGGGCTAGATTTCCGTTTTAAATACGGGTGATTTGATCTGCCCTGTAATGCACACCAAAAAGACGAAGATCACACTTACTTGAAAGAGATGCTTAATCTGCTTTAGCAGTGGAACCAGGTGCGCTGTGTCAGGGACTATTGCAGCAGCACTTGAAGCGGAAGTGCCGTGCGTTGGGGCGTAGAAAGCAGTGTAAGCGGCGTCGATGAGAAGAAGGAGAGACTCTTGAAAGCGGCGGCGCAGGCCAAAGGCTAAAAGCACATTGCTCCTGGGAAGGTGAGATGAAAAAATACGAGAGGGATGAGAGTAACAGAAGGGAGTTTGAGGAGAAGTTAAATAGACTCTTGAAACTGGCGGCGCAGGCCTAAGGCTAACAGGACACTGCTCCTGGGAGGATGGGAATGGAAGGCAACGCACAAGAAGGAAGGGAAGAGAAAGCAGTGTGAGCGGCGTCGATGAGAAGAAGGAGAGACTCTTGAAAGCGGCGGCGCAGGCCAAAGGCTAAAAGCACATTGCTCCTGGGAAGGTGAGATGAAAACATACGAGAGGGATGAGAGTAACAGAAGTGGGTTTGAGGAGAAGTTGAATAGACTCTTGAAACTGGCGGCGCAGGCCTAAGGCTAAAAGAACGTTGCTCCAGGGATGGTGAGGTGGGAACCATACAAGAGAGACGAGAGTAACAGAAGGCAGTATGGTATGGGGCGTCAAAAGCAGCATGGGCAACGTCGATGAGAATGAGAAGACACTCTTGAAAGCAGCGGCGCAAGGCACAGGCACAGGCTAGAAGAACGTTGTTTCTGAGAGGTTGAGAAGGGAACGCACGAGAGCGAAATGAAGAGAGATCAATGGCACCAGGAGAATACGAGAGAGAAATGTCGAAAGGAGAATATGAGAGAGAATTCTCAAAGAATTCTCAAAAGGAGAAAACGAGAGAGAATTGTGAAATGGAGAATATGAGAGAGAATTCTCAAAGAATTCTCAAAAGGAGAATACGAGAGAGGGAAAAGGGGAGAAACAAAGAGGGAAGTCATGCGAACATGCGGGAGAGAAGGGAGTAAAAGCACCATGGATAAAAAGTGGGCGGGTATAATGTTGAGTGCATTACCTGAAGCTGATGACCCCCTTGTCATAGACTGTCGGTGTAGCCGAGTGGTGGTTCGACCTGGCGAGAAAGAGAGAGGAGGAAGGATAGGAGCGGGGTGGAATGGGGTGGGTGGGGGGAGGTAGAGGGAGTTGAAGTATGGTGAACGGTGGTTCCACCTGAAGCTGATGACCCCCTGCAGGGTTTTTTTTTTAGACTTCTCAAAAAAACCCTGCAGCACCTGAAGCTGATGACTCTTTTGTCATAGCCTGTCGGTGTGGTGTGGCCGAGAGAAGAGGGAAAGAGGGGGAAGGAAGGATCGGAGGGGGGTGGAATGGGGTGAGCAGTGGTTCCACCTGAAGCTGATGAGTCCCTTGTCATAGACTGTAGGTGTAGCCGGTGGTGGTTCGAGATGCTGCAGGGTGTTTTTGAGAATTCTCAAAAACACCCTGATGAGTCCCTTGTCATAGACTGTAGGTGTAGCCGAGTGGTGGTTCGATCTGGAGAGAGGGGGAACAGAGGGATCGGGAGTAGAGGAGAGGAAGAAATGGATGAATGGATACAGAGAAGTGAGGAAACGTAACGAGACTGGAAGGGGGCATTCATGCCTAGGCCGCTGCTGCTTCAAGCTTTCTGCGTGTACAGGTTGGAGACTGCTTTGAGACGTCTCAAAAAGCTTTCTGCGAGTACAGGGTGGTGACTGCTAGTTAAAGCTCGCAGCCAAAGTTGCACAAGTTTAGTAAGGTCGACCCAGGTGTTTTTCAGGTGGTTTTCAGGTGGTTTTCAGGTGGTTTTTGACGCAAGTTCTGTTTTTGACGCAGGTTCTGTTTTTGACGCAAGTTCTGTTTTTGACGCAAGTTCTGTTTTTGACGCAAGTTCTGTTTTTGACGCAAGTTCTGTTTTTAACTTTTGAGTTTGGTTTCACACGCCCCTCCCCGCCAGGATTACTAAGGTAGCTCTGCGCGCTTCGCAATTTGGGCCGGGGGCTTTAAAGGCCGGCTTATACTGGTGACTTTTGAGTCGACTCAAAGGCCGGCTTATACTGTTGACTTTTGAGTCGACTAAAAGGCCGGCTTACACTGGTGACTTTTGAGTCGACTCAAAGGCCGGCTTATACTGGTGACTTTTGAGTCAACTCAAAGGCCACCTTATACTGGTGACTTTTGAGTCGACTCAAAGGCCGGCTTATACTGGTGACTTTTGAGTCGACTGAAAGGCCGGCTTATACTAGAAAATTGCCACACCAAACACTTCTGAGGCGCTTCAAAAATAGATCCCTCTGGATTGCCTCAGAGGGTGCTGAAGCGGTGAAAATTGTCACACAAAACACTTCAAAAACACTTCAAAAGCACTTGTCTGCCGCCTCCTCTCTTTCTCTCCCATCTCACCTCACCTCACCCCCCACTGCTGCAGCACCCTCTGGCACAACCTCACAGCTGCCTGCCCTGCTCCACCTCACCTCACCTCACTGCATCGCACTGCAACTCACCTGGCGCGTTCAATCATCACTTCAAGCTGCAGGTTGGGGCAATGCAACGACACCAGCTTCAGCCACCTGCGGTACACCCCCCACCCACCCCTCCACCCCCCTCTGTTCCACCCAACCTCACCGCACCCCACCGCATCTCACCTGGTGCGTTCAATCATCACTTCAAACTGCAGGTTGGGGCAATGCAACGCCACCAGCTTGAGTAGAGGCGTGCTGCCTGCTCTGCCCCACCGCATCTCACCTCACCTCACTGCACCGCACTTCACCCGGTGAATCACTCGCTCGTTCAATCATCAATTTAAACTGCAGGTTGGGGCAATGCAACGCCACCAGCTTGAGCTTGATAAGAGGTGTGCTGCTTGCCCTCCGCCACAACCTCACTGCTACCTGCCCTGCTCCACCGCACGTCACCGCACCCCACCGCACCTCACCTGGCGCGTTCAATCATCACTTCAAACTGCAGGTTGGGGCAATGCAGCGCCACCAGCTTGAGCCACCTCCGGTACACCCCCCACTGCTGTACCACCCGCTGCCACAACCTCACTGCTGCTCCCAGCTTCCCTCCTCCCTCCCTCTGTGCCTTGCTAGGTGCTGTGAGCTCACTATCCACAATACTATCCCTCTGCCACAGACTCGCTGCTGCTTCCAGCTTTTCTCCCTCCCTTGAAACAGCAGCAGAAGTTACCCCTTGAGCACCCATATTGCCTGCCCTTAACTGTTGAGAATTCTCAAAAGTTTCTCCCTCCCTTGAAACTGCAGCAGAAGTTGCACCTTGAACACCAATACCGCCGCCTGCTCCTAGCTGTAGCCTTCCTGTACTAATATTTTCTTCCTCACGTCCTTCCCCTTTCGCTTCAAACGCCGGCTCCTTCTTTCGGGGATCTTTCCTTGGGAGTCTTGAACCAAACATACCTTCCTGCCTCACTCCCTTTCCTTCTTTCTTTATCCTCGTGCATCTCGCATCACTCTCACCACCCTTATCGTTCTCCACTCCCTTCCCGTCTCCCCTTCCTCCCCGCTTCCTCTTCCCCCCTACCAGCAACCGACCCACTTTCTCTGCATCCTCTATTGCCCACTCTCTATCCCATTCCTCCCACTCCTCCTCCTTCCTTACTCCCTCTCCTCCATTCCCACCTCCCTTCCCTTCTCCTTTTTCCATCCCTTCTCGTCTTTCCTCCCCTCCTCCTCCTCCTCCTACTCCTCCTCCTCCTCCTCCTCCTCCTCCTCCTCCTCCTCCTCCTCCTCCTCCTCCTCCTCCTCCTCCTCCTCCTCCTCCTCCTCCTCCTTCGTACCTCTCTCCATCCCTCTCTCCATCCTCCTCCTCCTCCCTCCTATACTTTCTCTCTACGCACTCCCCTCTCCACTCCTCTCCCTCCTCACCTATTGATATATAACGCTTCTCTGCTGCCCCCCTCTCACTCGCTGCCCCATACTGTTCCTCACACCCCTCCTCCCTCCCCTCTCCTCCCAATTCTCCCTTCTCTCTCGACCCCTCTCCTCCCCATCCCCCCCCCACCTCCCACGCAATCCTATCCGCCCTACTCCCAAATACCACAGCCAGCCCCTCATAGGCCACGGCCCAGTTGAAACTAGTAAGTTTTTTAACTGCCCGCCTCACCGCATCGGAATCATGTGCTTGCACCGTTGCAAGGTCTAATTCATCCTCCTCCTGTGCCGCTGCTGTATTTGACTCCTCCCCTCCCTCATCCGTGTCTCCCTCTTCCTCCTCTTCCTCCTCCTCCTCTTCCTCTTCACCCTTTTCCTCCTCCTCTTCCTCCTCTTCCTCTTCTTCCTCCTCTTCCTCCTCCTTTTCCTCCTCCTCTTCGCCCTCTTCGTCCTCCTCTTCCTCCTCTCCCCCGTCTCCCTCCTCTTCCTCCTTGCCTTCTTCTCTCTCTTCTCTCTCCTTTCCCTCCTTATCACCCTCCTCCTCTGACTCCTCCCCATCCTCCCCCTCCTTCGGACCAACAACAGGCAGGGGCGCAAAGGGCAGCAGGGACAGCAGGGGGTAGGCCAGTAGAGCCTCCACCAGAAGAGACGCTGCTGCTGCTGCTGCCTCCCCTGCCGCCTCTTCAGCTACAGCCTGTGAGAAATGCACTCCTGCTGCTGTGCCTGCTACCACTGCTTCTGCCTCTGCTTCTGATACGTTCGCTGCTCGTGCTGCTGCTGCTGCCTCCCCTGCCGCCTCTTGTGCTACTGCCTGTGAGAAATGCACTCCTGCTGCTGCTGTGCCTGCTACCATTGCCTCTGCCTCTGCTTCTGATACGTTCGCTGCTCGTGCTGCTGCTGCTGCCTCCCCTGCCGCCTCTTGTGCTACTGCCTGTGAGAAATGCACTCCTGCTGCTGCTGTGCCTGCTACCATTGCCTCTGCCTCTGCCTCTCCCCCTGCCTCTGCTAGTTTCGCTGCTGGTGCTGCTGCCACTGCTGCTACTCCTGCTGCCTCTTCTGCTACTGTTTGCGAGAAAAGCACTGCTGCTGCCGTGCCTGCTGCGGTAGCTGCTGCTGCTGCAGCAGCCACATTTGAACCACCTCCTACTGACTTCTGGGCTGCACAACCTGCTGCTTCCTGTGCTGCTGCTTCCTGTGCTGCTGCTTCCTGTGATGCTGCTTCCTGTGCTGCTGCTTCCTGTGATGCTGCTTCCTGTGCTGCTGCTTCCTGTGATGCTGCTTCCTGTGATGCTGCTTCCTGTGCTGCTGCTTCCTGTGATGCTGCTTCCTGTGCTGCTGCTTCCTGTGATGCTGCTTCCTGTGATGCTGCTTCCTGTGATGCTGCTTCTTGTGCTGCTGCTGCTGCAGCCGTGCCTGCTGCGGTAGCTGCTGCTGCTGCTGCAGCCACATTTGAACCACCTCCTACTGAATTCTGGGCTGCACAACCTACTGCTTCCTGTGCTGCTGCTTCCTGTGCTGCTGCTTCCTGTGCTGCTGCTTCCTGTGCTGCTGCTTCCTGTGATGCTGCTTCCTGTGATGCTGCTTCCTGTGATGCTGCTTCCTGTGATGCTGCTTCCTGTGATGCATATTCAAGATGCCTCTCCCTACTCTTCCTGTCCCCTCTCCCTGCACAACCCCTACTTATACCCTGAATCACTCTCATTTTCTCACCAATCCTTCCTCTGCCCCTGTTCCTCCCACTCCCATCTTCCCCCCTTCCTTCACACTCCCTCGCACTCCCAACCATCCTCCTCCTCCTCTTCCCTTCCCTGCTTTTCCCAGCTACCCCTTTCACTACCGTCCGCTGATGGTGCTGCTGCTGATTATCGCCTACACGATCCTTCCCCCCCAACTGCGCATGCTGCTTCTTCTTCTTCTCCTCCCCCCACCACCTATCCATCTCATCATCCCACCATCTGTCCAGGGTGGATTGCAGAAAGTCAAAGGCAGGCGACAGCACTGGTAGCTTCTCTCGTATGCGTGTGGACAGCACGAGAGACTTGAAGAGGTAGTGCCTGTAGGGGAGAGGGAAAATAACCAAAACAAGGTTGCTGAGTATTCATCTCTCTACCTATCCATTTCATCATCCCACCATCTATCCAGGGTGGGTTGCAGGAAGTCAAAAGCAGGTCAAAAGCAGGTCAAAAGCAGGTGAGAGCATGTACAGTCCAAACTCACATGAGCATGAACATTCCAAACTCACATGAGCATGAACATTCCAAACTCACATGAGCATGTACAGCCAAACTCACATGAGCATGTACAGCCAAACTCACATGAGCATGTACAGTCCAAACTCACATGAGCATGTACAGTCCAAACTCACATGAGCATGTACAGTCCAAACTCACATGAGCATGAACATTCCAAACTCACATGAGCATGAACATTCCAAACTCACATGAGCATGTACAGCCAAACTCACATGAGCATGTACAGCCAAACTCACATGAGCATGTACAGTCCAAACTCACATGAGCATGTACAGTCCAAACTCACATGAGCATGTACAGTCCAAACTCACATGAGCATGTACATTCCAAACTCACATGAGCATGTACATTCCAAACTCACATGAGCATGTACATTCCAAACTCACATGAGCATGTACATTCCAAACTCACATGAGCATGTACAGTCCAAACTCACATGAGCATGTACATTCCAAACTCACATGAGCATGTACATTCCAAACTCACATGAGCATGTACATTCCAAACTCACATGAGCATGTACATTCCAAACTCACATGAGCATGTACATTCCAAACTCACATGAGCATGTACATTCCAAACTCACATGAGCATGTACATTCCAAACTCACATGAGCATGTACATTCCAAACTCACATGAGCATGTACCGTCCAAACTCACACGAGCATGTACAGTCCAAACTCACATGAGCATGTACAGTCCAAACTCACACGAGCATGTACAGTCCAAACTCACATGAGCATGTACAGTCCAAACTCACATGAGCATGTACATTCCAAACTCACATGAGCATGTACATTCCAAACTCACATGAGCATGTACATTCCAAACTCACATGAGCATGTACAGTCCAAACTCACATGAGCATGTACATTCCAAACTCACACGAGCATGTACAGTCCAAACTCACATGAGCATGTACAGCCAAACTCACATGAGCATGTACAGCCAAACTCACATGAGCATGTACAGTCCAAACTCACATGAGCATGTACATTCCAAACTCACATGAGCATGTACATTCCAAACTCACATGAGCATGTACATTCCAAACTCACATGAGCATGTACATTCCAAACTCACACGAGCATGTACAGTCCAAACTCACATGAGCATGTACAGCCAAACTCACATGAGCATGTACAGCCAAACTCACATGAGCATGTACAGTCCAAACTCACATGAGCATGTACATTCCAAACTCACATGAGCATGTACATTCCAAACTCACATGAGCATGTACAGTCCAAACTCACATGAGCATGTACAGTCCAAACTCACATGAGCATGTACATTCCAAACTCACATGAGCATGAACATTCCAAACTCACATGAGCATGTACAGTCCAAACTCACAAGAGCATGTACAGTCCAAACTCACAAGAGCATGTACAGTTCTGCTGTTGCAGCTGAGGGGACTTTCGAGTCCCGCTTACTCAGAAGTCAACTCACATGGGTATGTGGGACTGCTGCTGTTGCTGCAGCAGCAACAGATGCTGCTGCCACCATGCATCGCCTGCTGCACCACCTTCCATCGTGCACTCCCCATCACCCAGACTAGCGCTTGTCGCTTGCCCGCTTATCGCCTGCCCGCTTATCACCTGCCCGCATATCGTCTGCCCGCATATCGCCTGCCTGCCTATCGCCTGCCCGCTTATTGCTTGCCCACTTATCGCCTCCCCACCTATCGCCTGCCCGCTTATCACGGCTCCCAAGCCTGCAAACGACTTGCGTGCCCAGGGCAGCTTGATGTCGCCCTGCCTGCTTGCCTCTGCTGCTGCCGCCGCCCAGATTTCATCTCTGTCTAGTTGATCCCGTACGGTTTTGGATGTAACCCTGGGGGAAGTGCGAGGGCATGTAACAAGGCAAAGCGGGTGGAGAAAATGGTAAGCAAATGCAGAAGCATGAATACTCCAGGGCTTACCTAAGTTTGAAGTCATTGATAACTCAGGATGCTTACCTAAGTGTGCATAAGTCTCGCCAGGACACCCTTAAACAGAGCATGGTCAGAATCTCTTGAGGCAAGGAGAGGAACGGTACCCTGTCCCCTAGCTCTACACCCATCCACACTCTCTCCCTCTCCTCCCTCTCCTCTCTCTCGTCCGCCTCTTCTCTCTCCCCTCCCCCCTCCAAATCTTGATTATTCTCTCCCTCTCCCCCCTCCTGTCCAGGTCTGGTTCTCCTCTTTCGCTTCTCTCCCTTTCGGATATCTCCCCTCCGCCCCCCGCTCGCGCTGTCCACCACGACCGTCGATTCCTTCGCCCGGCTGATCTCGACCGCCCATCCTGGAAACGCGAAGGAGATCTTCGGACGGTCCAGATTCGCGGAGGACGCGTCAAGGGATGCGGAAAAGGGCGAATTGGAGAGGATTGGCTTTGATAGTGTTGCCGTTGAGGGATTCTCGATAGCCGCAACAACTCCAGGCGCAGCAACGGCAACAGCAGCAGCGAGAGTAGAACCACCACCAGTACCAGAACCGGGAAATATTTCCTTAGCTTCACTCTTAACAGCCGCAGTGGATACTGGCGTGTTCTGCACGCAACGACCACCCTCCGCTACAATCGCGCTGCCGCCACGCCGAGGTAATAGCTCAAACGAGGTGTGCGTTGTGCGCAACGCCTGCGAGTCGCGGAATTCGCGGAATTCGAGCTCAGACGAGTGGCGGCTGGCGTGTCCTGCGCGCAACGGGAGCGGGTCGCGGAATTCGCGGAATTCGAGCCCCGCAGAGCTTGTCGGGACGCGACACGACGTTATTGGGTTACTGACGGCAGCCGGAATGGATTTTGCGACGGCTAGCTTCTCGCGGCAGTGCTCCTGGAACGACGACTCCAAAAGATCGTCCAGCGCATCGTCATCGTTATCGTCGTCGTTACCGTCTTCGCGAATGTCGCACACGTTGTCGCCGTTTGCGACACCTGCGGAGATGGCATCGTGACCGTCTCGTCCTGCTTCCATTAGTAAACGGCGCTGCTAACGCTATCTGCTCTTGTTTGCCTAATATGCTCACTGAATTTGCGTATGGAATATAGTAGCAGCTCCGATGCTGGCCGCGAATACCCCTGCCTAAAGCATCTAGGCTGCTATTTGGCAGCTTCTAGCACAAAATCTTCGGCAAAGCGAGACTTGAAATTCTACAAGCTCTAAAATATTTCATCTGGACTGCACGCCCCTTGTACCTAGTTCTTTTTGGTCTTCCATTTCCATTTCCACCTCCTACCATCCATCTTGAGCATACGCAGCCTCAAATTTAGCCTCACAGAAACGAGATATCAGGCTGCGAGTTGAGGCCTATAAGTATCACAGGATCCACTCTGAAATTGATGTAGTTCTCTATATTTTTTATTGAGAGTAGAGAACTTAAGAATCTCCATAACATATCCTCCAACTGCTCCTTATAGCGTACGCTGAACCAGCTCTAATGGGCTCACAGTGAAGCTTCAGGGGAGTATTTCACACGTGCTTCTGTTCCATGTGGAAGTTCTCTGGCTCACCGCTTTCAACCGCTATGTCAGTCGGCTCTTCTTTTGCTGGCTGCCGGGAACTGTCGGGTAGGGTCCATATCGTGGAAATTCTCCAGCCATCCGAAGTTACACACGGTAGCACTGGTATTCTGGTTCCATTCGGCAGCAAATCCGAGGCGGGAAAATTCTGTACAGTACAGTATTTCTCATCAAGATCCAATATAGAAATTCAGGGTGAGGAATTACAATTCTCACGTCGTTACAGTACCGCAGATCATCCCAGAGAGCAACCGAGCGGAGAGGAAGCGCGTAGGTGTTGCGCCTGCGCGCGGGCAGGAGCAACTCTGTTCCTCACCCAAACCGGAAATATGGGCTACCCAAATTTCCTCGAGCACCACAAAACTGTGTATTCCCCCAGCGAGGTACATACAATTTAGTTTCTCCTCACATGGCAAGCTAGAAACAAATCCTCACAGCATTGAAACTCCAGAAGCAAGTGCTTCAGTAGCCTCTTTTCGAATCCGGACTATTCTGTAGAAGTGATCTTTAGGACGTGGTCAGACCGTCTCTGGTCGGCGCTGATCAAATCGGGGCGGATCTGATCGGGTTGCTTGTGATGCTCGCGCCGCCCGGTCAGTACTGATATTCCTAGAAAATTCAAAGCGTCTGTTTCGCAAGCGCTTCAGCATTTTCTAACCCTTTCGTCCCATTTTTGGCGAGAACGAAGCGTAGCGAATTCTATGTTTCTATGTAATATCGCCAATTTCACATTAAAGATGCATGTGCGACGACCTAACGAAATTTAGCAAGACACTGTAACTGATTCGCAGGTTTTGCATAGTTCCCCAATCCCATGCAATCAAGTGATCGTGACTGATTTTGTGTGATCGTGATTGATTGGGGTGTTTGAGGCGGTTGATCGAGCTGGGGCGATCAGTTAATCGCGATCAAATGATTGCCCCTGATTGCCTGAAATTGGCCTCGGGGCTTCCTGGAATTGATTGATTGCCTCAGATCGGGACGATCAGAGGCGGTCTGGATCGAGTCGTTAACATGACACTGTGTACAGCATTCCTGCCTATAAGGTCGGGAAGGACTGCGTAGAAAAATCATTCTTGTGTGCACCTCATAACATTACTGTAGCTAGGGGTGCTCTCAACTACCCGCTGCCTTTGTCCTTGTTATCGCTAATCGACGAAGATGTACCTTCAAGCATCAAAATGAGGGGCTGAGCTGAACTCCTTTGAACAGTCAAGGCTCACCACAGACACAAGACCTTGTAAACAGATAAGTAACATCTCCTCCTACAAACGTCATACTCTAAGGGCGTATAAAATAGCCGAACCCAGAAATTCGGCCACCATTAGTCAGGACGTTTTAGCGAGAGTACCCGTTTGAACCCGTAAGTACCAAGCTGTCTCTTATCCGAACCCTCAAGTGCCGTAATGGCCGAAAATTTGGCCATTAGCAAATTTTGCATATGTGTGGCGATCTACATGCTCTTAAAGCCGTTGTTAAAAATTGCACAAGTATTAAAAAGTTGACGAGAGGGGGTTCTAGCTGGCTTGGGTGTTGGCGAGTGTTTCCGATTTCATGAAAAAAATGTTTTTTTTTCTTTCATCAGACCCAGCCAGCCCCTCGTTTCTATACTGGTGGGTGTGTCAGACATCGAAAGTCCAAAATTGCAGCTGCGCTTCTTTTCAAAGCTTGCACAACCCACTTCGTCAAGTTTTAAAAACTTGATTCGCTTGGTCCGCAATTTGGGCCGGGGGCTTTTAGCCTCAGGAGTAGTTACATCATGATATTGTTAATGTATGTGATTCCAGCTCAATTAAAGCAAACCAGTTTATATGTTTTTTGGGTAGATACTTAAATAAAGGAATGTGAAAACTCAAGATATGTTTCACATATCTAGATTTACCCAAATTCCTTATGCATGCATTATAAAAGATATCAAATGGCTTTATGAATCTCAACAAATAATCTTTCATATTGATTGTCAGTTGTTGCGAGAGAAACCTATGTATGTACATATTGTCTTCCATACCTTGAAATACATTATTTTGTAGAGTGTCACTAAAAAAGGGCATTTCAAATATGCGCACTTTGTCAAATATTTCATATCTACATATGATGAAATAAACGTTGGTGATACAGATGTGAATTGTAATGTTGGCATGGGAAGAAATCAATTTTTGATATGTGTCATTGTATATTAGTGAATATATTTAATATATTCATGGAAAAGCCAAACATTGGGCCTGCCATACAAAAAAAAAAACAAACAGAATATTATTAAAACACAAGATCCGAATTACACAACTAAGTCAACAGGGAAATTGTAGGTTCGAAATATTTCATAAGGAGGTTCGGTTACAATTTCAAAAACCATTCTCATCAAGAACCAACTTAAAATCCTGGACCAATCACGTGAAGGTGGTGACAATTTGCCACCCGACTTGGTAATTCTGGTTCGGGCCTTTAAATGCTGAAGGTTGCATAATCTTTCAGTTGGGATAAAGTGATTCCGATCTACATGTTTGGGTATTTAGATATAGGGAATACTGTACAGAGACATTGGTGTAGTGAAACAGAAGTACACATGGGCTTCGATAATTTCATTCTTTCCAATTTTAAGACCCTTGTCGTCTGGCTCCTGGTTGAGAGCGGTTCGGTCCACTCAACAACCTTCCGATACCCTAAACCGAGTACAACCGCTCTCGTAGAGCTCAGAAGAGTTAGAAACCCCGAAATCTTTCGTGAGAGTGTTGAAATTGGAGGGAACTTCCCCCCCTCCCCCCCCCCCCCCCCCCCCCCCCCCCCCTCCCCCAATTTTGGAGGGAAACGACAAGGACGTTGCTTGGTGCCCACTTTTTGACATTATCGGAGCCCAGGTTTACACCCTGATACTCACTCATTACTCACTTTTACATTGAGCTACCACTCCATACGCCCAATGGTCGACATTCACAGCCAGCGGCCCGCTCGTTACTGGCCCACGAGAAAACCAGGATATTCTTACCTCAAATAAGTCAATCGAGTTTCCCAGACAAAACAGGCTGGGCTACCCACAATTATGGCGACTGTTCTACATTCAGTCCCATTTTGCCCTTAGTGAGCACCTGCTCGAGAGAGGAGCACAGGGAAAGATGGGGAACGAGACTGAAATAGGCATCAGGTGTAGTCTGATGTGGCTGTACGGAGCTGATTTTGGTGACGCGAGAACAGTACAAAGCTGCCAAATCATAAATCATATCAGAATATTGTGTCACTGTACCGGTAGAACGCGGAGGAATTTTCCGGGTTCGGATCGAAACTGTAAACGTCGGGAATAATGTTCGAGATCCACATACAATGAAAATGTGCAGACGAAGGCAAGACGAATGATACACAATCGTCTTGCCTTCTCTGGGTGGTTACAAGGTAGCTCCCGAATGCTCGTCTACAGTTCATGGGTAATGTTCAGGGTGGTGTTTAGCGGTTGAAGTGGTAAAGCAGGTCAACCGGTCTGGTGTGCACAAGGTCGTACTCAACCGCTTTAATTGAACAGAAAGTAGAACAGCTGCACCAAGGCTTGCAGGTCCAAAATTCTAGTTTACACATTGATATAGGGGCTATGAATATACGTTAAATAGCACAATCCCTACCAAAATCGGCTTGTGCAGCCCCTCCAAAACCCCACAAATGACACAGTAATGTGCTCCCTTGCGTAGTTAGTGTGGAATCTAACAATTGTCGTTATGAGTGCGCTCGGTGCACGCTCCACTCCAACAGAACAAAGAAAGGTGAGCTGTTGCGAGGACCACCACGCAAAACAAGGCCGATTCGTGCGCTCACTGCACATTATCCTCTCCTCTCCTCCGTGTCTCTCATCAGACTCAGCTCTACTGTCTGGAGAGCATCACCTCCCCCACAACTGAGGCTGCTTGCCTTGCACATCTTCAAGTTCCAAGTCCTGGTGCTACAAAATCCCTCCCGCCAACTTTCTGCACATTTTTTGTTCTCGAAGTTGCTTCATTCCAAGACAAGCCGTCAGACCTTAGGGAGCTTCGCAGTTTCTCCAAAGTAGGAATACTACTACAACCCTTCGCAGCTAATTCCGTTAGAAACGCATCTGAATCAAGCAGACGCGGAGACTCGCAATGGCCACCCCTTCCGGTAATATCCTGCCGCTAATAGCTGACGGCACCGTCAAAGCCTTGTGGCACGATATTCTCCTCTTTCCGCCTCCTCCCTCTTCCTCTGCCGCCTCCTCCACCTTCCCTGACTCGGCAACGTACGGTGACGTCATCCCCTCTTACACCTCATCCTTCTCCACCGCCCCCCCGCCGCCCGACAACCTCTGCATTTTCGTCTGCACGCGCACGCGTTCCGCGGAACCTGGCGCCGCGGGCGGCGCGGGCGCGGGGAAGGCTAGCAACTCCGCCTTCCGCGTGCGGCGGCGGCGGCTGCTGCTGAGCGGTGCGACGGAGTTCGACGAGGACGAGAACGTGCCGTGGAACATGGGCATACTTCCGCAGACCTGCGTGCTCGCTTGCGGAGCCGCCGCTGACGCCGCGAATGACGGCGGTTCGCCGGGGAAAACCAGCAAACCGGCTCCGCAAAGCGCCATCGCTCCCGCAAGTGCCGGAAATGATTCCGGTGGTGGAAGCGCCGCGGGATCGTCGGACGGCTTCGCGTCGCTGTTCGATTACGCTCCGATACAGGCTATCGAGATAGGGTTTGCACCGCGAGAAATCGGGGATACGTACGGTGTGATTCCGCTAGCGGCGCTACCGGTGCAGCGACCTAATATGGGCGGCTCGGAGGTTTCCTATAGGCTGATTGTGATTGCGGCGGATGACCCGTTAATGATTCCGGAGGCGAGTGGCTATAACGGATTTGGAGTCGCGACGATCGGGGAGGGCCAGATTGCGGAGAGGGAGGAGTTGCAAGAGGAGGTGGAGCGGTGGGCCGTCAGAAACGGCTTCTCCAACCGAGTCGACGGTAAGTTAGTTAGGCGGCCCGCATGTTTTCCCCCCTGGAATCTTCGGTCCCCGCTTCCCACTCTACTTCCCGCTTCCCCCACTTTTCCCGCCTCCCCCGCTTTCCCCCGCTTCCTCTCGTACGTCGTTTGCTGCGCCGTCTCCTTCGGCCCCCCCTCCCCTCGATCCCCTTCCTTTTCGCCCCCTTCTTTCCGCACCCATGCAACCCTATTTCCCCCCTACCCCCTTCTCCCCAAATGTACGCATTCCCCCACACATCACCCCCCCCCCCCCCCTAACCCCATCGTTCCCCTCAACCGCTTCTTCCCTCTCTTTGGACCGCCAGATTGGGATCTGCAGGAGGATAAAGACGCGGATACAATCTTGATCGACGCGCATCGCGTCTGGAAGCTAGTCTTCCCGACCCTTTGCAAGCCGACGCGCCTCGCCCGTGGAGCGACCTTCCGCCGACTCGATCCACGGTCGTCCTTCGCGGCGCGTCCCGGAAGCCCCGCCACTGCGCCACCTCGCGTGCTGGAGCTCGTCGTGAAGCCGGCAGAGACGTGCGTGATTTCCGCCGCGAAATCCGCGTCGTTTTCGCACAAATCCGCGCGAAAGTTCAACGTGAGCGAGTTCAGCCGAGCGAAAACCGTCGGGGGTGGCGAGTTGTACCGAAACGGTAGCTACGGCGACAGCTTCGGCAGATTCGACAGCCCCTATAGCGGTGGCAGCGACGCCGATTTGCTGTCACCTGGAAGCGGCTTCGGCGGCGGCGAAAGCGGAAACAATAGCAGACGAGCCGTGGGGCTCCCTCCTGCGTCTCCCCCGGTGCGGCGCGTGCACAGCGTGGAGGCGCTTGAGGAAGAGGACGCGTCGCGGGGCTTAAGTAGGTCGGTAACTAAGTCTGCGCTAGTCCGAAGCTCGACAGTCTTGTCGAAGAGCAAATCGTCTCGCGCAATGAGAAAGAGCGTGAGCTTGAAAGCGGAATTAAATGGTGGGGAGGATGGCGGCAGAAGCGGGGGGTCTTGGTTTCGGCGCGGAAGCAGCAAGGGGGAAGCGGTGCCACGATCGGAATCGACGAATATGGGTAACCGGGAATCGGACGGTGGCGATCATTCTTTGGGGGGACGGTGGGGAAGAAGCGGCGGGGGAGGTGGTTCAGAGGCAGGAGGAAAGGGGGAAGGCGGAAAGGGGTTATTTATGCGCAGCCGCACTTCAGTGCAACTGGGGGGTGCGCGAGTGTTATCCAGGGGGACTGGCTCGGCGGGAAGCAGAAGCGAACGCGATCTTCCGCCATACGCCCCCTTCACTCGTCGCCACACGCACACTAGCGACAGTCGCAGCAGCGCCAGCGAAAAGTCGGACGAAGATTTGAGTTTTGTGGATGCTGACTTCAACGGGCTGGAATCGGCCAATCAGAAGGACATTCTCAAGGCCCGTCAGCCGCAGCGCGCGGCGTGGATGAAAAAGGCACTGAGTATGAAAGTGCCGAGTGGGCTTCACCATAAGCACATTCGTGACAGTCACCACCAGAGCGATACCTACAGTCCACAATCCATAAGTTCTTCTTACATGGGGAAACATGAGGACTTATACGGAGACCTTGCTACTGAGGATAACGAGTTTCTCAACATCGACCGTCCTGTAGCTGCTACAGTACAGTGCTTTAAAGGGGGTGAAGGAAGCACCCCTAACCGCACCCCCAACCGCTCCCCCATTCGCTCCCCTATTAACTTCTCCGCTCGCTCGTTTCAAGCTGCGTCTGTTCCTTCCAGTCGACGTGCTTCGTTAGACCCTCCCTCAGAAGCTGGTTTGGAGAAGTTTCGGATTTTTCCTAAATCCCCCGTATTTGCAGCAGAGGAAGCGTCTGCTTATGAAGAGGATAAATCAGGACCGTCGAGGAGGCGGACGGTGGCCTTTACAGATGAGAAATCAGGCAGCAGCAGCAGCAACAGCACAAGCAGCAACTCTAAAGCTCATGCTTTCCGTGACAACAAGTTGCGTGCTTCTAAAGAGGCCTTGCCCAAGCAGAAGATTCCGGCTCTGTGACAGTTAGCCGGCATCCAAGGCAGCAGCAGCAGCAGCAGCAACCCTAAAGCTCATGCTCTGCGTGACAACAAGTTGCATGCTTCTAAAGAGGTCTTGCCCAAGAAGATTCTGGCTCTGTAACGGTCAACAGCACCCATGGCAGCAGCAACGGCAGCCAGCAGCAGCAGGGGGCTCAGTCGTGGATTCGGTTCGACCAATGGGAGCATGCCAGGTGGCAGCAATTGGGGGAGAAGGGGGGAGGGAAAAAATAGGGGGGACGGCGCCATGGGGTGGATATGGTGTTTGCCATCACCAGCCCTTCTATGCATGCGAAACTGGCAAACGGAATGGGGCCATGAAGGGAGTGTGGGTGGAGGATCTCAGTACCGAATATTATTCGGTGTCTGCTTTTGAGTTGACTCAAAACTCGGCTGTGAGGGGAGTGTGGGTGGAGGATTCCCGTACCAGTCATTATTCGGTGACTGTTCTGGTGTGTGATGGGGCATCAACATCAGCATCAGCATCAGCAGATTAGTACCGTAGAGGCAGCAAGGGCAGCAGCAGCAACGATGGCTGAAGCGGGAGGAGGAAGAGCAGCTTGATTGAAGAAGGAATGGCTTAGGGGGGTGGGAACCTGACGGTGTGGTTGAATGGGGTGGGGTGGGGGGGTGCATGAGTGCAGCAGCAGCAACAACCTACCGTACTTCTGACTGTAACTTAAGTGCTAGTGTAGTTCTTTCATTATTTCTTGTGTGAATGTGTGTGTAGCGGGTGCTGCAGTGTCGACCTTTCAACTTATTATTTTGTACTATGGGTACTGTAATACATTCTTGCACTTGATGGGTTCAGTTCGGTTTTGCATTTCTTAACCTAATGTTAGCTCCTTTCCAAAGCACTTGATTTTGAGGCGCCTCAAAGGTAATATCTTAACCTAATGCAAGTGTACCATAAGTTTGGTTCCAATTACTGTACCGGTACATGCTTTCAATTGCAATCAAGCAGAGGGCGAGCATTCATCTAGCCTGAAAGGCCACTAGAGTAGACTACTGGTGGATTGAGGCTGCTCTGACTCATCAGTAATCAGTATACACCAGGTGCACCAAATCAGAATACGTTACCAGTACACCAATTCATTACAGCCCGAAGAAATTATTAAAGCCAGCAGCTAAAATAGTGACCCCCCCCTTCTAGTTGGGTCCACTTGAATTCTTTACGGAAGTTTGGGTGGTGTTATGTTCTTTTTTTTTTTTGTCAAACACGTTTGATACTCGTGTGAGTCTTCGCATATTTTATCCAACTGTTACGAGTGCAATTGAGTGAATGAACGAGAATTGCACTATCGAAGCAAGAGTACAATGAGCGAAGGCATGAGCGAAGAATATATAGCGAAACTACAGTGGTAACGGTAATGGTCGCGCGACGAGCCTGGGACTGAGGTTGGGAAAGTGTCGAAGCGTAGGCCCGGAGCGCGGGTTACCAGCCGAGCCGTGAGGTCGGGTTGCGATGTGCGAAAAATGGCGGGATGATGAATGATTCGATGGTCGCGAGTGGTAACGGTGCTGACTGAGGTGCTACAGTGATGTACGCGTTTGAGCAGGGATGCGAAGTAAGGAAAAGGGAATTTCCTTACACTACCCCCCCCCTCCTAAAAGTCCTCCTTACGAAAGCGCGTGGACGTCTTTGAAGTTTCGGCTGCGCAGATAGTCGGTGACGACAGGGTGGTTTCCAATTCTGTCAAGGGGAACCCAATTGTCCTCGGTGGGTGTACGATCTTTCCAGCGGATCAGAAACTCAACTTTTCGGGCTCCTCGAGGGTCGCGAACTCTGTGGCTCAAGATTTTGTCGGGGGTGATGACTGGTTCGGTTGGTGGTCGTGACATGCTGGATGGTCGATGTCGTGGGAGTTGGCTGGTGGATGGTACGTAAGGGTGAAGCAGGCTGACGTGGAACGAGGGGCTGACGTACCAGTCAGCAGGAAGGAGGAGGTGCGCGGTGACAGGTGTGATCATGTGACTGATTCGAAATGGCCCACAGTATCGAGGGCGGAGTTTGGGAGTGATGGGCACGCGGAGGTTCTGAGTGTCGAGTAAAACGAGGTCGTCGGGCTGATAAGTGACGGGTCTGCGGTGGCGATCGGCGTTGCGTTTAGCGATGATATTTGATTTTTTGATTGCTTCTGCTGCCCTGGTCCGTGCTGCTTGCAAAATCTCGGCGAACTGTTGTGCGCGTGGAACGGGATTGTCGGGGTTTGGTGTCATGGGTACTGTTGGGTTCTGTCCGTAATTCAAGTAGAATGGCGACTGTTGGGTCGTGGCAGATGGCGCGTTGTTGTATGCGAACTCGATGAGAGGCAGCTGCTGCTCCCACGTGTTTGGGTCGTCACACGTGGCTCGAATGAGCTGCTCCATAGTCTGGTTTGTCCGTTCAGTCTGTCCGTCGGTTTCGGGGTGATACGATGAACTGAATTGAAGTCTCGTGCCGAACTGCTGCCACAGGTTCCGCCAGAAATTACTGGTAAACTTCGTGTCCCTGTCGCTGATGATCGACGCTGGTATCCCTGTCAGAATATTATCTTATTGTTCTAGCCTTTAGTGGGGTGCTCTATAGCGAGTACAACCCTTCTAGGGTTTGCTATTTGTATCCTCATTCTTGCTAGTTCAATCCTCTTTCTTTCTTCTAATTTTGTCAATCCCGTGCAGTCGAACGACGGTGGCGATGAAGAGTCGGGCTGTTTCCTCGGCTGTGATTGATTTCCTGCATGCTGCGAAATGTGCCATTTTCGTTAGTCGATCGACGACGACCAGGATCGCGTCATTCCCACTCGCCCCGGCCGGTAACCCCGTGACGAAGTCCATCGTCACCTGCTGCCAAGCACGCTCTGGAGGTGGGATTGGTTGTAATTGTCCCGCCGGCCGCTTCCTGGTTGACTTCATGAGTTGGCAAGTGGGACACGATGCCACGTGTCGTTGCACGTCGGTCAACATTTCCGGCCAGTAATAGTACCGCTGCAGCTGCTGCCGCGTTTTTTCTACTCCGAAATGTCCCGAGGTAACTCCGTCGTGTGCCTCCTGTAACAGTAGTTCCCGTAGTAGCGTGTACCCTGGTACCCAGATGCGGTCGGATCCAGCTTTTACGTAATAGACTCCCTTGGCTGCTGCGAATTGCTGTGAATTTCCTCTTGTGAAGAATGGGTCTGTTTGATATCCGTGGGTAAATAGTCCTGTCAGTAACGGGCTGGTCTGGGCGAGTAGTATCGCATGGATTTGGGCAGTGGGGCGGGTCAGTGCGTCGGCGATATTCGAGGCTCCTTTTTTATATGTGACCGTATAGTGGAAATTCGACTCGAGGAAGTCGAGCCACCGAATCTGTCGTGGGTTGAGGTGGGGCTGTGCGCGGAGGTATTGTAGGGATCGATGGTCTGTCCGTACTGTCACGTCTGCGCCGGTCAAGTAGCAGTGCCACACTTTGAATGCATGCACGATCGCGAGCATTTCGCGGTCGTGCATCGGGTAATTTCGCTCAGGTGGATGTAGCTTGCGTGATTCGTAGGCGATGGGTTGGCGGCCGTTGCCGAAGTCCTGTAACAGTATGGCTCCGATGGCGATGTCACTCGCGTCTGTAACAACTTCGAAGGGGCGGTGTGGGTCAGCGATGCGTAGGACGGGTGGTGAACAGAGTGTGAGAATAAGCGAACAGGAATGAATGAACTAGCAGTGAAATGAGTACAAGTAGGAAACCCTAGAATTGTGTACCCCCTATAGGCTAACCCACTGTAGCCTACACAAGCATAACATATATAATGTTTGACACACCCCCATAGGCAAAGTGGGGGAGAACAAGGGGTCACAAGACCAGTCAAGCAAAGCAAAGCAAGCTCAGGGTGGATCACAAAGTCACCACACAGTCCGAGCACAAGAGCAGGGCCAGAGGCCAGTTCACATGCAGGAGTACAGACATATATATAAAACTAGACAAGCAAGAGCAGGTATATATATATGTCACAGTACAAGTGAAGTCAAGAGGAGAGCAAGTGAGGCAAGACAGGCACAAGACCCAGCTGGGTGCAAAAGCGCTGATGGTCACAAGGCGCGAGTGCCTTGGTGAACACATCAGCAGTGTTGGCCTCAGAGGCCACGTACGCAAGTCGCAACTGACCACACTGCTGCAGCTCACGAGCAAGGAAGTAGCGGAGAGCAATGTGCTTCGTTCTGTGCTCCAAGCGCTGCTCTCGACACAAGGCCAGCATGGCCTTGTTGTCTACGTACAGCACTGGAGGAGAACGAGGCGGCTCTCCAAGGTCAGT